ACCGAGAGACACCCGAGGAGCGGCGCCGATACACTGCTGGTGCCCCGAGTGTGTGCTTGGCCCGCCTGCCTAGGAACCCGTGTGGCCTCCACCTGCTCCCAACTCCAGGCGGGACACCTGGCTTTCCAGTCACTTCAAGAGCCATGTCCTGGCCTTGCTCCCTTGCCCATGCTGTTCCTTCCTCCCCACCCGCCCCCCCAGTCCGGGGACCCTGCGTCAGCTCCCGCCGTGGTCATGACTTGGAAAAGGACACGCTTAGGGCTCAGTTTCTGTCAGTTTCTGACTGTTTGCAAAGCGGGACAGGAGGCCTGGGTGGGGACTAGAAAGACAGGGCCTCCCCCCACATCCCAGGGACAGCCAGGCAGCTTGGAATTTCGGGAATAATCATTTTGGTTTATAAAACTCCTGTGTGCCTGGGGGTGGGGGCCAATGATGAGTGATGCACAGAGTGGCTCCAGGATCTACAGTGGGAGACATTGGCTGAAATTCGGCAGCCACGTGTGGCCCGTGGCAGAGAGCCTGGCAGGCACCCCCACCCCACAGGTCCTGAGGCCCTGCCCACCACAGCGCCCTCTGAAGGAGCAGGATGCTAGCCAGCTCCCGTCGCTCCCCTGGGCAGAGTCGAAGCAGAGCCCCAGCTGCTCCCGCAGTGCCCGGGGCGCTGGGTGGCAGGTACCTGGGCTGGCACTCCCTCCCCGCGCAGAACTCCTGGACGGGCTCAGGACGGGTCAGAGCGTCACAGTAGCTGTCATCCACCTCGATGCCATCATAGCGAACGCACATGGCGTAGGTCGACATGACTCCTGGTTCAGGACAAGGGAAGAGCCTGTGAGTCACGAGCGAACCCCTTGGGGACCAGCAGATGGGCCATGTGACCACGGGCAAGGCAGCTACCTCTCAGAGCTTCCTGGTTTAAATCGAAGATAACGACAGTAACCAGCTTACCGAACCGTGGCAGAGCCCAGTGAGGACACCTTTGTGGATCTGAACTCCCTCCCTGCCCACGTCTCAGGGTCTGACTTCTCTCTGCACCCCCACCTCCACACCCACCCCTATGGGTAAATAGGAGGGTGGGTGGGTGGGTGGGTGTGTGGATGGATGGATGGATGGATGGACAGATGGATAGACGGATGGATGGATGGATGGAGAGTTTGGTGGGTAGATGGAAAAATGGATAGGTGGGTGGGTGGATGGGTGGATGGGTGGATGGATGGGCAGGTTGTGGGTGGATGGTTGGATGGATGGATAGATGGGTGGGCAGGTTACGGGTGGATGGCTGGATGGATGGATGGATGGACGGTTGGATGGATGGACAGATGGATGGACGGACGGGTGGATGGATGGAGAGTTTGGTGGGTAGATGGAAACATGGATAGATGGGTGGGTGGGTGGACGGATGGATATGTTTGAAAACTAACCATTCGAGCCCTTGCCAGCATCCCCAGATGTTATATTAGATCTTCAGGCCCTCCCTGCTCCCCTGTGGCATGTCTCAGTCCTTATCCAACTCTCTCAAACTTTCTTTAATCACCACTCTGTGTGTTTATCTTCCTTGCCTCCCCGGTACTCTGTAAATCCCATCAGGGGGATGATGTGTAAAGGGCCAGCCCTCACCCAATGTTGTTAATTCCTTGACCCCACTCCCATCTTCTACCCCTCTGGTCTTTCTACGCATGTCCCTGCACCCCTGCACCCCTGCATCTGGCACTGTGTTGGCACATGGCCAAATCCACTGAACAGTGGGTGGGTCCCTGCCAAGGAGGCAGGATGACTCAGGGAGACTTGTTAGCATCAGTGAAGGCCCACGTGAAGGGTTAGGGTTTGTTGTTGCTGATGTGTGTGTGTGTGTGTGTGTGTGTGTGTGTGTGTGT